GCCGCACCCCCCCCCCACCGCGCCCCCTCCGCATATCCCCCCCACTACCCCCCCTTCCCCCCACTTCCCCCCCTCCCCATCAACCCACCCTTATCTACCCCACCCCCCCCACCCCCACAGGTACATGACTGCAGAGTATACCCGTGAAAACTATGAAGCCAAGGTTTCTGACTTTTACTCTGGGCTGAAGCCCAGGTTCCTCAACCTCTTGTCGGATGTGGGTGCCTCTGAGCTTGCCCTGCTCGAGCTTGACTCGCTCCTCCTGACTGCGCTTGATTCGGCTCATGTGGATTGGACCAACGGAGGTTCCATTCTTCATGTTGTCTTTGCTGTTGAGCGCTTCCTTGCCTCGCTTCGCACCAAGGGCGTCTTCTTCCGTGTCGTCATGTTTGTCGCTCACGAGTCGCTCCTCTGGTCGGCCTCGCCGCTCATGCGTCTCGTCCGCTCGCTTGTCGTCCTCCACCTCCGGCTCAACACCGATGTCAACATCGATGTGCTCGACTCGTGGTTTGGTCCCGAGTGGGATGAGTACCTCATCGACAAGGAGCCCGCGTTTATCGTGGTCCATGAGGGTACGACCAAGTTCCTCTCGACCACCTTTGCCGACGCCGACGCCGGCGACGAGGAGGAGGACAAGGGTGCGTTCCCCAACCCGGAGGCCGCGCGTGTTCTCCACGCCTTTGTGCTCAAGGCTCTGCTCAAGCGGTTCCACTGCGTCTTTGCCGCAGGCCTCTCTGAGCGGAACAACACCATTTCGGGCTTTGTTGTCCGCGCCGAGTCCGAGTTCTTCTCGATGAAGCCGATTCTCCCGATCATGGACGCGGTGCTTGTGGAGAAGACGGCTGCGGCGCAGGCGGCGCTTGCCGAGGCTGACGCTGCGCTGGCGTCGGTTCCCGAGGCAGCCGCAGCTGCGGTGGGTGCTGACGGTGTGGCCGGCGCGTCGGTTAGCTACGCGACGGGCGTGGCGGCTGTCAAGTCGATTGTGGCGGCCAAGGCTCAGCTTCCGGCCGAGCTTGCGGCGGTGGTCGAAGATCTCGCGCGCATTTTCCTCCTCTCGCTCGCCTTTGTCCACCACGGCCTCCCGCTCAAGTTCCGCGGCCAGGCGCTCGACGCGCCTGTTTCTGCCGCGCACTACGCCGGTCTCCTTCCGTTTGTCTCTGCTGTTGCCGAGCGGTCCGTTGCGGTCTTTGGCTTCCCGCTGGCGGTCAAGGGCGGGCTCCGTGAGGGCCTTGCGGGCGTGATCGGAGCCGACGGTGCGCGTGCGCGCGAGCTGGTCGACCTGGCCGACTTTCGGCTCTGCGCCCTGCTGCTCAACGTGTGCACGCAGAAGCCGTCGCTGGCGACAGGCGCCATCGACGACTGGGGCGTTCCGGCCGAGGTTGTGAACGACTACGCGGCGCTGGCGGGCGCGGCTGGTCTTGCTGCCGCGCCGCTGCTTGCGGTCGGCACGACGCCGACCGTCCCGCACCAGGTCTCAGCCCACACCCGGCGGGTGCGTGCCAAGGCTGCGGCCGAGGCCGAGGCGCTGGCGAACGGCCCCAAGGCCAAGGTCGCACCGTCGCGGGCCGACTACCTCGCGGCGCAGGCTGCCGAGGCGCAGGCTGCGGCCGAGGCTGCGGCGACGCCTGCTGGCGAGTCGTCGTCGACCGTCGGCGGTACCGGCGCGGTGGCGGTGGAGGCCGACGGCGACGGGTCCGACGACGAGTCGTCGTCGGGCGGTGCGTGGGACGACGACCTCACGTCGTCGGACGACGGTTCCGACGGGCCTGCCCAGTCGTCGGGCAAGGGCGGTGCGTCGGACGCGGCTGGCAAGGATGAGGCCGACGAGTCGGACGGGTCGTCGGAGACTGACGACGCGTACGCCAACGCGCCCGAGGCGCCGCGGGCCGAGCTCCTCTATCCGGTCCACAACGAGCTCCTCGACGCCATCACCGACTACAAGGGCGTGGACCTGTCTTACCTGCACCCGCGCGACGCGCTGACTGAGCTCTCGGGCATGCCTGGAGCGACGTTCTTTGACCGGACGCGGTGGAACCCAGCGACGCGGCTGGTGGAGACATACCTTGAGGACGAGGTCATTGCTGACCCGGAGCCGATGGACAAGGAGAACATCTCGTGGCTTAACGCGGGGTACAAGGCGCTGCTGACGTTTGAGAAGCGGAAGCGGACGCAGTACCTCAAGACTCTTGTCCGGCGGATCTACGACAAGGACATCAAGACTTGGCCCGAGCCGCCGGAGGGTTCGACCGAGTTTACGGTCGACGACGCCACCGACGCGCTGCGCAAGGAGGTGGAGGAGGACATCCGGGTCTACCGCCGGCAGTCCAAGTTCCTCTGGCACGTCAAGGGCGAGTCTGTCAAGCTCGCGCGGAAGCACGCCAACCGGGACTCTGCGCTCCGCGGCGACCAAAAGTACACCTCGTTCCTCCACAAGTACGCCGAGTCGCTTACGGGCTCGCTCAAGATGCACGCCAACCCGATCATCATGAAGTCGAACGACGGGGCGAGCTCGTCGAGCTCGGCGCCCAAGGCCCGGCACCACAGCAAGAAGGGCAGCTCCAAGGGCAAGAAGAGCAGCCAGAACCCCGAGGCGACCGGCGCGTCGCGCCGGCTTACCGCCAAGCAGATCAAGGCCTTGTCTAAGACCGACCGCATGAAGTACGAGAACGAGCTGAAGCGGAACCGCGAGCGGCTGCAGCACACGCTCACCCAGTGGGTCACCCTCCACAAGCAGGCGCAGGCGACGGCGGACCACGCGTTTGCCATCAACGAGCTTGTTCAGCGCAAGTTCCTCGACCACGTGGCCGTCGACCGCAAGACCGAGGTCCACGTCCTCAAGTCCAAGGCCTCGCTCTACACGCTGGCGCGGTACTGCAAGCTTTGGCGCGAGGAGCGCAAGGCTGCGTCGGAGCTGGGCGAGGTCTCGCTGGCCGACCGGAAGACGTTCCCCGACGCCGCCGAGGTGGCGACGGCGGTCACCATCTTCCGCCTTGTCTTTGACATTCTCAACACGTACGGTCCGTCGTCGGCAGACTACCCGCGGGCACACAACGTGCTCGACGAGCACGACGTGACTGGGCTTGTCTTTGCGCTCCGCTTCATCGGCCTCGGTGAGGTGGCCGCTGCGGTCGAGACGCGGGTCGCGGGCAAGCTCCCGAGCCTGCTGGAGATCCTGGGCTTCTCGGACGATCCGGCGGAGCGGACCGAGTCGGACGAGTCGGTCATCAACGTGCTCGAGGATGGTGCCCGTGGCTTTGGATCGGTGGAGGAGTTCCTGGAGATCAACGCCGAGGACAACGCCAACTTTGAGCTGACCTCGGTCGGCCTCTCGTCGGCGCGGTTCCAGCTCGTGTACCAGGGTCACCTCATGGAGCGGCCGCGCGGGCTCAAGGCCGACCCGCGGGCCAAGGGCTTTGTGCCCGACGAGTGGCAGGTCAAGCTCCTCGACGCGGTCGACCGCAATGACTCTGCGCTGGTGTCTGCACCGACGTCGTCGGGCAAGACGTATGTCTCGTTCTACTGCATGGAGTCTGTTCTCACTACGTCGCACTCGGGAGTGGCCATCTACATTGCGCCGACCAAGGCGCTGGTCAACCAGGTTGCGGCGGACGTGTACGCGCGGTTTGGCAACAAGGACTACCCGCAGACCTCTGCCGGCATGTCTGTCTACGGCGTCATCACCGAAAGTACGCGTACAAGCCGCTCCGGTGCCAGGTGCTCATCACGGTGCCCGAGATGCTCGAGCAGCTCCTTCTTTCGTCGGCGCCCAAGGTCCGCGAGTGGACGACGCGGATCAAGTACTGCATCTTTGACGAGGTTCATTCGATCAACAAGTCTGCCGGTAAGGTGTGGGAGCGGCTCCTGCTCCTCATTTCGTCGCCGTTCCTTGCGCTCTCGGCGACAATCGGTAACCCGGACGAGTTCTGCCAGTGGCTCCGCGACATTCAGAACGCGAAGCGCGAGCAGGAGCTTGCGATGATCAAGCTGACCAAGAAGGAGATTGCGTCCGGGGTCAAGCCTGAGGACCGGCTCTCGCGTGGCTACGGTGTGACGCTGGTCAAGCACCCGCACCGATGGGCCGATCTCAAGAAGACGGTCTTCCTCCCCTCGCCGTCGACCGACGAGGACCGGACGGTGGTGACGGCTGAGGACGAGATCACGTCGTGGTCGTGGTCGGTCATCGACACGGTCCACCCGCCGCTGGAGGACATCAACACCGAGGCGTTTGTGCCGGTCCACCCGTGCGCCACGCTGACGACGACCAAGCTCTCCGGTGACGAGGGTGTGCCCGGCAACCTGGCCTTTGAGCCCCCGGACACGCTTGCGCTCTACGACCGCATGGTGGAGGTCTCGGCCGAGGACGGGCTGGACGACACCGAGCTGACTGATGCGCTGGTGCCCGAGAGCGTGTTCCCCATTGCGGCGGCGGTGACGCGTGACGAGGCGCGTGGCTGGGAGCTGGACGTCAAGGCGCGGCTGGAGGCGTGGATGCGCGAGGGCAGCGAGTCGTCGGTGGGCAAGGTCCTCGCGGCGTTCTCGCGGCCGCTCAACAACACGGTCAACGCGCGTGTGGACGAGGCGCTGACGGCCGGCGTCAAGATGGACTCTGACGATTTCCTCAAGGAGCACTTTGTGGAGGTGGTGACCGCCCTGGCGGCGACGAAGCGGCTGCCGGCGATTGCGTTCAACTTTTCGCAGGAGATGTGCGTCTCTCTGGCTGCCACGGTCATTTCGACACTCATGGAGTCCGAGGCTGCGGCACGCCAGGCGTCGTCGGCACAACGATCGGCCAAGCGCGCGGCGCGGGCGAACAAAAAGGCAGCCAAGATGGCGAAGCGGAACCGCGACAAGAAGACGTCGAAGAACGCTGAGGAGGAGGCCATGATGGACGACCTTGTCGGCGCCGAGAACCAGGTCGATGAGGACGTGATCGACACCGAGGCGTTTACGCTTGTGGCGGTCGGCTCGTCAGTCGACACCGACGACATCAATGCCATTCTCCGCGGTCTGCAGATCTCCAACGATCCGGCCATCGACGACATCCTCAAGGAGGGCCTCCTCCGCGGTGTCGGCGTCCACCACGCCGGTCTCCCGCGCAAGTACCGCGAGGCTGTGGAGCGCCTCTTCCGGGCGCACTACCTCAAGCTAGTGGTTGCGACCGAGACGCTGGCGCTCGGCATTCACATGCCGTGTAAGACCGTAGTTTTTGCCGGTGACTCGATCTACCTCGACTCGCTGCAGTACCGCCAGATGGCGGGTCGCGCCGGGCGTCGTGGATTCGACCACATTGGGCACGTTGTCTTCTACGGAGTGGCGCTGTCCAAGGTCAACCGGCTGCTCTCGGCCGAGACGCCGCACCTCCGCGGGCACTACCCGCTCTCGGATACGCTTGTGCTCCGGCTCCTCTCCAAGGGCAAGGTTTCGGACGACGCGACGATCGAGTCAAACTCGGTCATCAACGCGGCGGCGACGCTGATGGACCACCCGCTGTACGCGCTCTCGTCGACCAAGTCGCACATTGGGGCGCAGATGCGGCTCCACTTCCGGTTTGCGGTCGAGCTCCTCGCCCAGCGGCTGCTTGTCAACGTGGAGGGTGCGCCGTCGGGCCTCTCACAGATGGCCATGGCGCTGCACTCGGAGGGCCCGTCGTCGCTCGCGCTCATCCACCTCCTGCAGACCGGCATGCTCCACCGCCTGGCGGCGTACGAGCTGCAGCAGGCCGAGGTTGCCGAGGCGCACGAGGCCGAGGACGCCGAGGCCGACGTCTCCATCCTCATGCTCCTTGTGTGCTACATCGTGGGGCGCGTCCCGGTCCACCCGTGCACGCTCAAGTCCAAGGATCCTGCGGCGTCGCCGGTTCTCCCGCCGATCGACGAGGCCCTGCTCCCGGCCATTGCCGACTACAACTCGACGACGCTCGAGGTGTACACGCAGTACGCGCTCAAGGCTGCCGAGCTGGTTCGCAAGCTTAGCAACAAGGCCGTCGACGACCCGGAGCCACTCCCGGTCTCGCAGTTTGAGTTCCCGGTCGGCGCGCCAGGCGCCGAGGACGCGTACGCCGCGCTCGCCCTCTCCGACTCGGTGGAGGCCACCAAGGCGCGTTCGCCGTTTGTCGCCCTCTCGGGCCTCGGCGACTCGTTCCTCAACGCCGACGAGCTCGCCTCGTCGCTCCGTGCTGGCATCGAGCTCGACGCTGGCGCCCTGCCCACGCTCGACGTCGAGGGCGTGCACCTCAACTCGTACCTCCTCGACTTCCTCACCGGCCTCTCCAAGCACGACATTGTCGAAAAGTCCGGCCTCACCCTCTCCAACGTGTGGAATGCGCTCAACACCTCGCTCATCTTCCTCAAGACACTTGTCGAGGGCATCGACGACTACGTCGACGCCGAGCCGAACCGCGACGTCCTCTACCGCGTCCTCAAGGATTACTCGGACCGCATGCTCGCCCGCTTCTACGGCCGCCGCAGTGTCGCGTAGGCGTAGTAGTCAGCCGCATTAACACCTATTTCCCCTCGCCACGTGCCGCACATGAGCAACAGAGGCCGCGTTTACAAAGGAGGGGCGCGGAAGCCGATGCCCTGGCAGGTGATGACGTTGGTCGAGTGGCCGGCGATGGACGGGTCTGTGTCGGGAGTAACGTCAAAAGTGGCGCCAGTGAGGAGTGAGACAAAGTGGATGGCGGTCTGGGTATGGAGCGAGAGCGGGCCGCAGCGGATGCGTGACTCGCCGTCGGCCAGTGCCATGTAGATGATGAGCTGGTCGGTGAGGTACTCGTCGGTGCAGCCGCCAGCCTCGAGCTGGGTGATCAGCATCTGGGCGGCCTGGCGGCCGACGTCCTCAGCCGGAGTGCCCTTGGCGCCCAGCGCCGAGCCGGCGAGCCGCTCGCCGGTCGAGGTGTGGGCGACGAGGAGGATGCCGGTGCCGTTGCCAAAGGCGAGCGGCTCATCGATGTGCGGCGTCTCGACGTTGAGTACAACGTCCGCGTCACCCTCGGCCACACCGACGCCTGCCGAGCCGAACCACCAGGCGAGCATCTTGCCCGCCGCGTCGGCCATGCGTGGGCCGACCGAGGCCGGGACGCGGCCGGCGGTAAAGGCAAAGACATCGACCGAGGTGACGATGCCGCGGTCGAGGGCCACGATGGGACGGATGGCCTCAACGGGGCTGACCTCGAGCACAACTTTGCCACAGCCCTTGGGGTAGAAGCCGCGACGGGCGATGGTGAGGTCGAGATCGTCGATGCCCATGCGGGCGAGGGTGGGAAAGAGGACCTGGAGCGTGTAGTCGATCTGCGGCGCGTGCGACGCGTTGGTCCCACCGGTCATGTTCAGCGTTGTTGGCCCAGGTGCAAAGAGCAGGACCGGGAGCGAGACTTGCGCCAGTAGAGTCGTCGATCCCGCCGAGGGGATGTTGCCGTCGTAAGAGCCGCTGGCCACGCGGCCCACGCCGGCGGCCGGCGGCAGGAACTTGACCTCGACAGACTTGAGCCCGTTGCCCGCCAGCTCTGCACCGCACATCTTTGCCACTAGATTGATGCCGACCAGATGCTGCGCACGAAGACCAGGCACCGATCGCCCTGCCCGGATGGAGGAGACGTGAATGGGCTTGCCCAGCAGGGTGGCGCATGCAAACGAGTTGCGGAGAATCTGCCCGCCGCCTTCCATCAGCGATCCATCAATAGCCACAAACGGTCGATCGGCCGGCGCATCAAGGGCACCAATAAAGCTTGCAGTAGGAAAAGATGCTGCAGTCGGAGCGCCACCTCCGTTCCTCCGTCCTCCGCGCGAGCCGCCGCGATACCTGCCCCGAGAGCCACCACGGGAGCCACCGCCACCGGCGCTCGGACCGGCACCACCAGCCGACTCGTCGGCCACGTTCTTGCCTTGTTTGCCCTGCTTGTCCTTCTTACGGCGAGCCATATTGCTCAGTTGTGGAATGTAGTGTGAAAGACGTGACTGTGGATGAGTGCGGTGTACAGTGGGCACTGTCTGTCGCCGTGTCTGGTTGGTGTTGCTTCTGGCTCTGATCTGAGTCGTGCTGCTGTGCTGTGGCTGCCATTCTGCCGTTACAGCCGCAATCCCGAAAATCCGTCGCTGTTTTGGGCTCCATTGCTTTCTTTCCATTGGTCGCCTTCCATTCCCTTCGATGGCTCGGCTGCCATGCTGTTGGCCAACGAATTGGGTTTGGTGGGAGGGGCAGGGAGAAAGGCAACGTAGCGTAAGCGGGTATGTCGATAGAGGGTGTGAGGATGATGTGAGATATTGTGGTAAGCAGCGATGGGCTGCGACAGGGAGCGATGGGCAGCGGCAGGGAGCGATGGGGAGCGATGGGCAGCGATGGGCTGCGATGGGCTGCGATGGGCAGCGATGGGCAGCGACAGGGAGCGATGGGCAGCGGCAGGGAGCGATGGGCTGCGATGGGCTGCGATGGGCAGCGATGGGCAGCGACAGGGAGCAATGGGCAGCGATGGGCAGCGATGGGCAGCGATGGGCAGTGACAGGGACGGACAGACTGCAGCTACGGACAGTACTGCGCCCAGGCTGGCGGACAAAAGTTGCACACGTCCGGATGATTCGGGAGGAGGAAGCAGGCAGCAGGGCGACCAGCGACTGTGGCCGGTCCGGGATCGACAGGATCGCAAGCAACAGCCGGGAGTGGATCGCATGCCATGAGGCATGTCGTGCCCATGTTTGGATCGGTGCAGAGCGAGGTCGAGCCAGAGCGCACAGGCGGCGTGTGGAGCGGCGGATGAGGGAGACTGATCACTGGCGTGGCGTAGACCTCAACGACTTGATGCCCACCGGAGAGAGTGGCTGGCAGGTAGGCTGCCGCCGACGAGTTGGCGTCGTAGACCTGTGACTGGCACCACGCGGTGAGTGATGGCTGTCCGTCACCATAGGCAGGGTCGCTGACCCCGCGGTGTTGGCGTCGATGTGGACAAGCTCGAGGCCTGATCCGTGCTCCGAGACGACAAATATCATGTTGTCGTTGGTAAAGGTACCAGCGTTGATGGCGCAGGCCGACGCTGTCCGACCAGACGCTGCCCACGACGCGGTAATGCTCTGCGATGCTGCCGACGAGCCGTACGCAATGAGCTCGGTGGTGATCGCCCCGCCGTAGTGAGTCAGCGCCAGTGACTCGGCGTAGTGGACAATACCCATGGGGGTCGGGAGCGAGAACGCAGTGCTGACGATCGAGCCTGTGGAGATGGCAAAGGCAAGCACCACGCCTGGCGGCCTGAGATGCAAATGGGTCGTCGGGTCTGAGCCGGTGAGGGTGAACCAGACGTACTCGCGGGCTATGTTGTCAAAGTCGGCCATGCCCACCACCGACAGCACGTGTGGGTACTTGGCCACAACGCTCGGTACAAGACTGGCGAGCGTAAAGGTCTTGGTCACTCCAGCATTGTCCGGCTCGTCGATGTTCTTGATCTCAACCACTGTCCCATCAGCGGCAAGCAGGTATCCGTACCGCACGTACGTCTCGTTCGACTCGCCGTACGCCATGTCCACCCAATCAGTGGTGATGGAAACGTTGGTAAGCGCAAGCGTCCGATACGGGACCAAACTGCACATCTGGCCAGAGTACGAGAACGGCAAAGCGCAGGTGTAGTACACCACCTTGTTCGGCGCGGGCGTAAGGATCAGGTACCCGGTGTCAAAGTAGTAGCCAACAGGCGAGGTGACGCCGGGAGGGAGCGCGAAGATCTTGTGCGCAAGCAGGTCGTCCTCCCGCACCGCAAGTACATTTCCACCTGCAATCATCATCACATGATCGTTGTCAATTCGCTCCACCTTGACCCTGCTCCACTCATCGGTTGTGTTGAGCGCGAGCGTTCCGATGTAGATCGGTGGCGGCGATGCAATGGCTCGCGACGAACCGGGCCTGTCGCCTTTCCGATCCGAGTAGACCTTCCTTGGAATGGGCTGTCTCGGCTTGGGCCGGCTTGTCTCACTTGAGTGCGGGTTGGCCGAGGCGATGGGCCGCAGTGCGTTGCTGTGGCTGTCATTGGCGTCACAAGCCGCGCCACAGGTAGCCACCACCGACAGACATGCCATCCCTACCACAACCCCCATGACCAGCAATGGCCACATACCTCGACCTGTCCACCGCACACCCTTTGCTGTCATTGGTTTTCTTGTAAGAGGCTAGAGTGTCCCTCGCGAGCTCCTCGTTTGCGTCAAAGATAGCAGCACTCTCCTGACAGAGAGAGAGAGAGCTGCCAACACACGACCGCCGCCATCGCAAGGTTCTACTGCCGGCATCTTCAGCCGCACTGTATATCGGCATGGTTTCGTTGATCTGGAACTTCGCGGGCTTTTGCGAGGCCAGCTACTACAGCACAGCTGGTATCCCAACAGATTTGCTGCCGTTGTGGCTTCATCCGGTGTCGCCTGCTTGTTGGGCAGCGCGGTTGTTGCTTTGTCAATGAGAGCTCTTACCCACACCAAGGCAAGCAACGGATCACGTACCATCCCTTCACTTCTACATCAACTAATACGCCATCCCACCCCTCTATCCCACCCCTCTATCCCACACCCTGCCCCACACCCTACCGCCACACCCTGCCGCCACATACCTTTTTTCACTGCCGATATCGTGGCTCGATCAACACGCCCCCGTGCCCTCTCCCCCACCCTTCTCGCACGCCCTATCCTCACCCACACCAAGGCAAGCAACGGATCACGTACACCCCTCCACTTCCACATCAACTAATACGCCATCCCACCCCTCTATCCCACCCCTGCCCTGCACCCTGCCGCTACATGTTTATTTTTTTTTGACTGCCAAAATATCATGACTCCACCACCATGCCCCCCCCCCCCCCCCCCCCCCCCCCACCTGCCCCCCTCCGCCCCAACCTTCTTCTTGCACGCAGGACGATACCACTCAACTCAACCCTGTTTAGTCAGACAAGGACATCCACTGCCACACCAAACATGCGCTTTGGTGACAAGGCGCGAGGTGTGCTACTCATGGCGGTGGTTGTAGCTCTCGTCCACCCTTCCCTTGCGAGTGCGGGAGATGGTGCACGTGCCAGTGGCGAGCCGTCGTCGCCCTCGCTTACAACGCCCGCAACCAAGCCCATGATCATGACCATAACCATGGCCAGCCCCACTCCCGTGGATACAGTCGCATCGGATCAAGAAAAGGCAACAAGTGTTGGAGTCTTCACCAACAACAAAGTACTTCATTCACATACCCAACACATCTCACATCATCATGGTCTCCAGCACCGTTCTGATGGCCAGCACCGTTCCGATGGCCAAGACCATCCCTCGCCGGTCACCCGTCACGCTCTCGCCTCCAACTCGCATATCTCTCGATCGGCTACTCCCCGCTCGGCCGCATCCTACGACGGCACTCTTTCAGACCTCGAGGCGGCTCAACTCTCTCCGCTCTCTTCCCTCTCGCCCACCAACTCGCTCTCGGCCCATTCTACCGATGAGATCGATGATCGCCTGCCTTTGTGCCCGACTGCTAAGCCTGCGACTGCAGCCGAGGTCCACGACGCAGTTATGGCGCTGTACCACACACTCGACGGCGCAAATTGGATGAGTCCACAGTGTCTCAACGCGTCCACTTTTACCTGCTGGGGCAACTACCAGCCAGAGCACGGCGAATGGTCGTTCCTCTTCTGGCCGGGCCTCAATCCAGTCACCTTTAGCAACGCGGTGAAGACTCATGTGAGGCCGCCGCTGATCACCATCGCCCTCAGCGGCACCAACTCGAACAAACGAACGTGTTTCCGACGGACCCTACCGTGCTGGCGCCAGTGTTTGCCGCACTCGAGCGGATCGAGCTCACCGAGATGGGCATTTCTGGACCACTCCCGCCGTGCATCACCGACGCCGCCTACGCGCCGCGCCTCCAGGCGCTCTCATTCAACAGCAACTATCTTTCCGGCTCGATTGCGTTGCCGCAGAGCCCAAAGTCAATGCTCGCCGAGATCTACCTCCGGTCGAATGCACTCACCGGCTCGATTCCCGCCCTCAACAGCTCATCGCCGCTGCGTGATCTTGATCTGTCCAACAACAAGCTCACCGGCTCACTCCCGCCAGTGCTCTCGATCAAGCTGCGGAGCCTCCGGGTTCAGAACAACTCGCTCTCAGGCGAGATCCCGCCGGGCTTTTGCCCCTACTTGCCGAGCTCTCACCTCGAGATCCTGGACATTGCCTTCAACAAGCTCTCCGGCCCAGTCAACAGCCCGATGCAGCGGCTCTCTTTGTGCGGGTCGCTCGTCGAGCTCATCGCCTCGAACAACGCCTTTACTTCGGTCGACTTTTCGCTCTTCTTTGCCAAAGCCGTCACGCTCCGGAACAACAAGCTCGGCGGGGACTTTGTCACCACGTTTCGCTACTTCCCCAGCGCGTACTACCTTGATCTCGCCCACAACAACCTGACTGGCGGCCTGCCAGCCTCGACCATCGATGGCAGGGTTGTTGCCGGGCCGCTGCTCAACCTGCTCCTCCTCGATCTTTCCGGCAATGACCTCATGCGCGCGCCGACGCCGCTCGCAGCCCCCAGCTCGGTCTACATCCAGACTGCCAACGCATCGATCATCTCGGACACGGCGCTCTGCTTCGATCTTGTCAACTCGGCCATCCCCTCGCTCACACTCAAGGTCTCCCCGCAGTACTTTTCCTATGACAACTGCCAGTGCCGACCAAGCTTCTACGGCGTCCCGCCCGACAACTGCTACGTCTGCCCGCCCAACGCAGAGTGCCCTGGCGGCACATCGTTCAAGTGGCCCGAGGGCTTCTATCCCGAAGCGCTGACCATCGAGCCGGCACCAACATCCAGCCGCACGCCTGGCTTCGGAGGCGAGTTTGATGTTCCGCCGCGCTATCACTTTGCCGTCACCGAGTGTGCCGAGCTTGAGGGCGAGGAGGAAGAGGAGGACGAGGAGGGCGAGCATGGCGAGCACGGCGAGAGTGGCCACCACAACAGCACCGAAGCCCGATCGTGGTCTTCCCACTCCAGTGTCGGCGAGGATAACTCGGACGACAACGAGTCGACAGACGTCGGCGAGACCAAGGCCGCAGGCGCTTGCAAGCCCGAGGGAAACTGCTACGTCTCTTACCTGACCGGCATCGCCCACGAGGAGTGCTCTCCCTGCGAGGAAGGCTTCACTGGCAGGCTCTGCTCGCAGTGTGAGGACGGCTACTTTCTCACTCTCGAGGGCGAGTGCCTCAAGTGCACAACGTCTGGCGCCACGCCGCTCATCATTGCTGTCTCGCTCATGGGCTGCCTCCTCTTTGGCGTCTTTCTCATGCTCTTCTTCCAGCGCGGCTTCCACACTGTCCTAGTTACAAGATCGTTTGCCTCGGTTGCGGGCCTCGGCCCGTGTCAGACCCTCCGCAAGATCCTTCGCACTCTCCTCGAGCTTTGGCGCGAGATGGCGCTGCTTGTGCTGGAGATTGCCGTCCTCATCGCCTTTGTCTTTGTGGGCCTGGCAGAGACCTTTGAGGTCATCATTCTCGGCATTGGCTTTATGCTCATGTCCGGCTACCTCATTTCGATCCGCCTCTCGCCGGCCGATGGTTCTATCCTTCATCACGAGGCAGTGCCGACCGATGGGCGCTCAGCAACATCATCGGACGAAGAGCTTGCAACAACCGACAACGCTGACGTGGCGCAGGGTCACGGGCACGGGCACGGGCACGGGCACGGACACGGTGACGAGGCCGGACACGGTTCCGGCCATGGCTCCGGCCTCGAAGCCTACTTTTCCAAGCACCACGGCATCGAGCACATCGAGTCGGCGCTCAAGTCGCTGATCATCTACTTGCAGACAACCGGCGCCATTGTTTCGGGTTTCTCGGTGGCGTGGTCACGGGCCGTCGTCGTCTTTGGCGCCACGCTGGAAAAAGCCAACCTGCAGGTGACCGGCCTGCAGTGCAACGGGATCGACTTTAGGGCTGCGTACTACTTTTTCATGCTCATCGTCCCGTTCACCGTCACCCTCATGGTACTGGCTTACATTGTGCGGCGGATTGCGCTGTACGTCAACTACACTCGTCTGCGTGCAACGCTACGGAGCTCTGGCTACGCGTCGGCCCCGCTGCTGGGTGGATCGGTTCAGGATGGCCCGGGGCGGGTCGACGACTCGTACCGCGAGATCACCTTTAGCATCACCGCGCTGCTGGTCAAGATGGTGCTTGTGGTCGTCTATCTGATGGTCTTCCCCATTGCAGTCCAGTCGTCGTACATGTTTGCCTGCGTCCCGGCTCCGTTCGAGTCGAGCGTCAAGGCGCCCAAGTACCTGACTGGCGCTCCGTGGATCCAGTGCGGCGGGAGCGAGCAGAGCGAGCTCGAGCTCGTCGGTGGCCTCATCCTAGGCTCGGTCCTTCTCTCCGTCCTGGTCATCGGTCTCTTCATCCAGCGGGCGCGCAAGCAACGCGAAGCCGCCAAGGCCGCCGGCCTCCACCCAACCCCATCGCTTATCCTCTCGTCGGCCGAGTTTGTACTCGAGCCGTACAAACACCACATGTGGTGGTTTGAGGCCCTGGTCATGATCCGCCGCCTGGCTTTTGCCTTTATCATCGCCGCCCTCCCGCAGGGCTCGGTTTTCACCGCTCCGCTCTTGCAGCTCATTCTCATCGCCGCGCTCCTGGCCAACATCCTCCTCTACCCGTTTGCCTCGACGGCTGCCAACCGGCTGGAGACCCTCTCGCTCCTCGCCTCGCTCTTCTCGCTCCGCATCGCCGAGTCTATGGCATCGACGAGCAACCCTGCTTCACTCAACGCTCTCTCTATCATGTTTGTCGTCGGCAACGGAGCTGTTCTCTTCACCTACATCTGCACCCTTGCTCTTCCCATCGCCGCCACCGTCTGGATATCCTTCCGCCGCCGCAAGCGCAACGCTGCCCCTGCCAGCCACGGCGGCTTTGCATCCATCTGAAGAAAAGCGTCCATTTCCACCAACCCCAAACCCCAACTCTGTAATCCCCCTCTCCCAACCCACCCCATCCACCAAATTTTTACCCACCCACCCCCCACCCCCCACTTCCCCACCGCGCGCCAACATGACCGAACACCCTCCCCCCCTCCCCCTTCCCCAACCACCACCACCACTACTACCCCTCTTCCCTCTCCCCCCCCCCCCACCCCCGCCATGAGGACGACCTACTTTGAGTTTGGTTGCGGGCAAGACCGCGGAGCAAGTTCAGCGGCCCAAACTCCG